GGCCAAAGGGACAACAACACCAGCAGCCACAGAAAGGGCGATTCGAAAAATCAAGATTCGAGGGGTAGGCGCTGACGCCGTACCACCTGTAGCTTCAGTTCGCCTTCCCCCCCCCCCCCCCCCCCCTCCTCTTTGGGGATGCGGGTGTTTTTTGGGATTGAAGTCGCCATGCACGTACGGTTTTAGCATTCAGCACTGAAGCCCCCCCCCCCCCGCCCCACCTCGGAGCCCAACTGGGGGACGGCCCACTCGCCCAGGGGGCGGTGGTGCTACCAGGGTTACTCTGGTGCTATACGGGGCGAACGACGCCTTCCACACGGCCATGTGTTACCGGGGAGACCCCTCCCCGTCCTGACCACGGTTCAACGCCGTCGCTCCTTGGCGCCTTAAACCGCTACGCACGGTCAGGCGCCCCAAGCGGAGGCCCGCAAGGAACACCCAACCGCAGAGGAGGCGACAAGCCGCTAGACTCGTATGGCGCCCCCGGATATCCCGGCCACAGTGGGGTGTGCCGCGACTAACCCGCATGACGCACCCCTCAGCCACCAGGATCCGATCAACCCAGGGACGCGGGCGAGGGGCCACGGCGACCCCGATAAAAAGAAGACTAGAAAAGATGAGTGGGCCGGATGCGGGAAAGCGGGTAATGGAAAGGAAGCGGGCGGGACAAGGAGCAGGAGCTCGCGTACCAGCAGGGTCGCTACGCCTTGAGAGGAACAGCTTACGCTGTCCACCCGTTACCGGAACTGGGGCCCGAGGGGGCGCCAGTCCCCTACACCGGCCGAAGACACCGCCCCTGCGAGGATTGGTGTACTTAAAGATGACCTTTAAGATTGCCCGCATGACTTTGAAATGGCCTCCTCGTAAGCCCGTACATCTTCACGGCGCGTACCTAGGAAACTAGAAAGGTTTAGATGTTCAGAAAAACAGGGCTGTAAACTGCACTCCATCATCTTTAACGCGGTTATTTCAGTTCGATACCCATATACTCGATACAACTGTGGAGCCCTTTAAAAAGGCTTTAAAAATGTGACCGTGGTGGTGCGCGACTGGTCGACGTGTGGTGCGCGACTGCCGTTCTGTCGTCAATATGTACACGCCCCTCAGCAGCCTTTTGTTGGTTGCTCCTCCAAGTCGCTAAAAAACTGCCGAATCTAACTAAGCATGGGCCACGGCTGTGGCGGATGTTGCAAATTTGAGGTGCCCGGCTGTGAAAAAAAACTCCAAGGGCTTAGCCGAAACGGACCGGTTTGTTCAGTTTTCGGCTGTGACAGATCCATGGCCTCGGAGGCCTAATTGGGGACTTGTCTTCTGTACTGTGTGCATAGCCTGTCGCCGAGGTACAAGTCCTAAAAGCAATCGGTGGCAAAAATGACGAAAAACAAGTCATTGCTTGGGTCAACGGAAAATTTGGGCTTCACCGTGCGCACCGTGCGCAGCCGTGTTAATGCGTGATTCCGACAGTTTCAACTGTGCCAAAAATTGAATATGTTTTCTACAACCTTCTTCGGGTATCTTTGTTTACGAAAAACATGATGCTCTTGGCTTTGCGCACAAAATACGTAGAAATGCTATGGCACTAACGCTTAGAACCACACAATTAACATCGAAACTACCCGCGCGCTCAGGCACTACAAAAACAACAGCGTATTACTGCTTCATGGCATATATCACAGCGACCACGTACGTCTCATAGAATGGTGAATGCTTGAAGACGATTGGCGCAATATGTTTTGAGATGACTTGTCTGCAGTCCAAAATTTTGGAATTTGTGCACTTGGATGACTTTTGACCTAACCCAGGGTCGTGACATATTTGACTGTATCAGGGCTATTCATTATGATACATCCAATATTGAAAGTTTTGCAGTGATTGATGCAGTAGATTCTTGGATTTCAATTGTCGGCATTTGCAAGTTAAATTTTTCCCCTGGAATTTCTGAGGTGTTTGACTGCAGGTAAGATCTTAATGTTACCAACCCAGCACTCAAGTCATAACACTGAATCAGTTGGTGAAGGTTTCAAAGTGATTAGATGAGCTGCTTTGGATAATGAGTGTGTCTGCTACATACATCAGTTTTTAGTCCCAGTCTCAGCTGATGCTTCCAGCTACTGCAATGGGGGAGAGGTGCAGCCATTCCAGCATTGTCGCTGCAAACCCTGTGTAGGCCAGTGATGGTGGCATTGGTTGAGGGTTTCGATAACAAAATTACACAAGCTCAGCTCAACATCATACACTGAGAATAGTATCGAATCAGATTTGATGTTCATGAGTAATTGTAGGAGTACTAACCATGTTGGGCTGGCTTGCTCTTTGAGGAGGAAATCATTCCTGCACCTGTGCTGCATTAACCTCAGGATCCCTCGCAGACCGACATCTCAGATGGTGAAGTTTTGTACCTAACTTTGGGGTGAGGGGGGGGGGGGGGGTGAGGAGAGAAATGTTTTTAACACAAACAGCGCAAGCTGTGTTCTCCCTGAATTTGACCAAATTTCTTCTCAAAATTAGGAGAAGGACTAGAGTCCCATCGAATTGGATGGAAACCTACATCTCTGGTCCCAAATCAAATATATCTAGGTTAATAGAGGCCTAGGTCAGTGCGACATTGCACTAGCATCCATCCTGTAAGTGACAAGTGTAGTACTTTAATTTATTTGTGCTGAATGGTCATTTTATATTATAGTTGCTTGCATGGCATTTCAGTCATCACATTGTCACAGTGTGCTCTGGGGAATTCTGCAACAAGTGCATAACATTTTAAGCATGTCATGATTAGTGCTAATCAACTTATACCTTTAAAATAAAACTATTTACATAAACAACTTTTTGCCTGCTCCATGGCTTCCACGATACAGTAGGTGTGAAAATACACTTGGAAGGAAGCAGTATCTGAAATCTGGTTTTAGCTCTTGGGGGGGGGGGGGGGGGGAGAACAGAAATATTAAAATTGTGCCTTGTAGTGAGAAAAAAACACAAAACAAGTGAATTTGCACTGCATTCACAGCTGGCACTAATGGACATTCTTTGACAGCAGATGACAGTAAACACCATGCTCTAGCTGGTCTAAGTGATTGCCAAAGACCATTAGAAATTGGCTGCTTGCAATTCATAAATATTCTAGCCTCCTAAATAAGTGCTTCCTTCCTAAGTCAATGCTTGCACCTACTACATTTTTTAAGCTATGGAGCTGATAGAAAGTTGCTGATATTTATAATTCTATTGTAAAGGTGTCAGTCCCAATAAAGGCTGATAGAAGCAGATGCTTAAAATGTTGTGCACCAGATACACCATTCCCCAGAGCACATGATGCTAGGTTTATTATTGAAATGTCATGCAAGCCACAATATATATATATATATATATATATATATATATATATATATATATATATATATATATATATATATATATATAGGAGCACCTGGGGCATAGCAGTTAGTGCAGCTGCATTCTAGCCAAGGTACAATCTTTCTTAGCCAGAGGAAAGATTCTGGGGCAATGTGATACCCACCTGGGCTTTTACTGATCTAGATGCTCTTCATTTGGAAACAAGTGTGCAGTTCCCTATTTAGTTGGATAGGATGCTAGCCCCTCCCCAACTTTGAGAAAACCTTGGTCAAAATCAGGGAGAACACGGTTTGTACCAGTTGTTTGGGATAAAATATTTCTCCGCTCACCCCCTCCACAGGACAAAATATTTCTCTGCTCACCCGCTCCCCAAAGTCATGTACAAAACCACACCACCTGGGATGCCAGGCTGCTGCATGATCGGGGCTCGGAGGCCAACGCAGCAGGGGTGGAGGAATTATTTCCTCCTCACATGGCAATCCAGCAACATAAAATTAGCATCACTACATCTACTCACCAGTGTTGAGCCTAAAATGACTTTTCTCAGTGTATGACACTGGATAAATTCATAGATTGCCTATATCTATGATGCCAACCAGTGGGCTATCACTGCTCCTCACGTGGCCTCTCCAAAACAAGGTGGGCCAGCTACATACTTGGGCAGACGCGATATAGCTGTCTTCAACAACAGAGCCGCTGTAGGTTGTTTATCAGTTTTGATATTGCTTTTTAGGACCTTATTGATTTTGTAAGAAGTGTTGGCTGGAAAAACTAGGCTTAAATGACAGGCAGATCTAAAAAACATATATAATCATTTAAACACATGTGTAAAATATGTGTACATAACATAACTGTTTTGGGTGCCGGCTCCGGTCTGGCGTGCGAGCATGTCAGTGTCGTTGGATGGTAGGTGGGTTTAACATGTGCTGGTGGGCAGCAACAGACCTGGGCACTGAATGCATTGCAAGGAAACATTGTGTGTGATATGGAAGGGATCTTTGGCTGTAACCCACAAGCAGTATCCCTTGTTCGGTCATGAGTGTGGTGTGCGATGCTGAAGTTGCAGGAACAGCTTGCCTTCATCTAATGTCACTCACAGAGAACAATTTTTTAGTTCTTTGCAGTGTGTATATATATATATATATATATAAAATATATATATTATATATATATGGAGAACAAAATGTCTTGGGGCTAAAAACACTAAGAAGGATCCAAGTTCCAGACAATGTGAGAAAGTGTCTACATATGAAGCTAGTAAATTTAATAATTATTGGCAGCCAATTATCAATGGTCTCTGGCAATCACTAATGCCAACTCACGCGCAGTGTTACCTGTCAAGTACTCTTACAGGACATCCAACAGCACCAGTTGTGTACATAGTGAAATACACCCCAGTTTTTCAGTCTAGCTAAAAGACATGATTTTAGAATTGTTCTTCTCCCCAATAGCCTACACCAAATTCAAGTTACTGCATAAACCTTTAACATTTTTCCTCACTCACGATAGATATAAATAATGAATGTAATGACTGATAAATGATGCCAGCAACACACCAGCAATTGTGACTAAGGCGTGTTATACAGCAGATATGTCGAATGATGAGACCCAACAACGCAAGACCCCACGGTGGCGCAGCGCAGACGGCTCACCTTCCGATGTTGTGCGTCGATGCGCTTCTGGCCTCCACCCTGGAGAGACTCATCGCGCTTTTTCCGGATTTGCTCTTCAACCGCTAACGTGTGGGCAGTGCCTTGCCAGCGCTTTACCACATTATGTGCCGTCTGAGCAAGCTTGTTTCCGGAGCGCAAAAACCCGGTCGCCTTCATGTACGCAGCCATGTTGATATGGCTGCACGAAAGTGCTTCCATATCTCTTGGAAGAAGTAAGGACTTGATGTATGCAAAGATGCTACCGCATAAATGCCCCGATGAAATTTCGGATTTAAAATAAGCCTTCTATATTTTCGTCGTCGTCTCTATCATGGACGAAGATCCTTGGTTTAAGTGCAACGCTGCATATGTGGCTGCCGGGTTTTATGCGTTGATTTGCTCATTAACGGGCGGTGAACGGCATCGAATAGACGTTTTTCACGACCGCTTCCGACCCATATAAATCGCGACATTAGAGTTTAGTCCCAGAGTCCACTCTCTCTGATAGAAGGGGATCCGTAGCCCTTTTAGGTCCCAAATGTCTGAACCTTCTTGGGCCAGGGGGGCCCGAATCCGATAGCCAAATGGTCTTATGGGACCTAATAATTGTGATTGTAACCAAACGGGGAGGGTTTGATGAAAGATGCCCCAATGAGTGAAATTCAGCGAAACATAAAGGAAAGATGGCATGGACACTTATGAATACAAGTTTTAATGACGTCACCTTTTGCAACAGCTGGGTGATGAGCAAGCTCTGCGTTATGGCGCGCTCATGTGTCATATATGTAGGATCTCGAAGACAAGGCACCGAGCTCGGGTATTTGCGTGGTTGACGTTTTGAGTAGGAATGATGGCCCATATTCCACTATTTCAGGAAAATTAATATCAGCTACCCATGTCCTCCATGAAACGTGTGCGGCTCGTTTTCAACTTTTTAACTTATTCTAGTTTCGTTGTCCTCCGACGTCAGGAACGGTGCTTGTCCCAGCTGTGCAATTTTCCGAAATCTTGTTAAACTGGCGGGGGGGGGGTCCCGACATGGGTGCTAGGTGTTGTGATGGCCGATGCACTTTCTTTTGCTACAAGGAAGTATATACATTGCGTTTTTCCTTTTTAAGTATACATGTTGGTTCTAACCCAGTTTTAGTGTTAGCTCCTTCACCAGATATTTGCCCCTGTACTTGTGTACTTTTTATGACAAGATATGATTCACTGTGTAGTTTGCAAAGCTCAAGCAGTGATAGGTATAAAGTGTTAAGTGTAAATAAAGTGTTCACAGGTCTATCAGCTAGAATTATGGAGGTGTGTGGGGGATTTTTCATTTTTCATGCTCAGGCATTATTGCTGGGGAATTTTTTCACATGTACTAAGCATCTGAATGGGATAAATGCACATATATAAAATTTATGTAAGTGAGCCATGTAATATGGTATTGTGATCTCAAAGGAGCTAAGTTTTATGATGAAAACCAATGTCAGCTAAATATATGATCAGTCTGTATTGTTAACTGCAAGTATGCACTCTCCTACCCACTTCCTTGTTGACAAATGATATGGATGCATATAGTAGAATCAATGTGAAATAGTCAAGTTTGGCTTTGGGATCACATGTTGAGGCAAGAGAGATGCACAATTTAGAACATTTTGATGATTATGTACATTGTCAGGTGAAATATGAGGTATGGTTATGCCAGTATCTCTTGACTAATGCTGTCCTTGCTGCTCCCACCCCTTTTGCCAAGATTAGAGGCAAGTGATGCCATGCAGCCTCAGCAGCTGAGTGTGTTCTAAAGCCCCATTACATGCATGCACATACTCAAGCATACAGCTAATATTGATTTTTGCCATTTGAATTCCTTTTAGCTAAAAATATTTTCTTGTGTGTATAGGAAACTATATGTGTAACCATCTTTGGTGACTATTCTATCATATTTTGTTTTCAGAAATTGTGTGAAACTCCCACTAAGCTATTTTAAGTAACTGCATAGCAAGTGGACATTACTGAAGTGGTGAGTTCACACATATGGAATAAATGACCAACTTTCTACTGTTCATGACTTCTTAACAGTGCAATGATTGACAAACAGGTGTGACAAAAATTGTGTTGACCCCTGTTTGCCATCAATAATGGTATTCCAGTTAGAGCATTGTCTGTTTTTCTGCATGCCCTGCTCAAAGACCTTGAGATTTGCAGTCCAGCACTTAGATTCTACTCACAGTTCTGGGCTGCAAAATTATGTGCTGTTTTTACTATAACTACCAGGCAGCACCAGTTTGTTTGGATAGTACTTTTAATCTTGGCTGTGGAGAAGGACATGATCTCAGAAATGTATTAGACTCAGGTTACACATGCACTGCAGAATGCTAAGATATTTCAAAAGTTTTTTACCAAACACCTTGCATTTAGAATATGTTATGACTGATGTTAGGTTATGTTAAGACTTGAATGATTGGTGATTATGCAATGCTCATTTGGGACACTGCTCAAGCATATGTTGAAATAGACACATTTCCAGGCCAGGTAGGTGACTTACTGGATGAGCTGTACACTAGTTGGTTTACTGTGTAGGCAGGTGTATTTGAGTGATGACTGGGCACTTGTTGCAGCAGCATAGTTGTGCTCATGATGCTTCAGTGATATATGATAGTGCATAATTTAGGAATGAGGTGAAATTCACCACCAGCTAGACATTGACATTGCATACCAGTGTTAAAGCCATACTCAGTAGAATAAGATTGTTGCCAAGTTTAGCTGACCAGCTATGATAAGCTTAGGAGAGAGCAGTGCCACTGGAAGTGTTACAGAGTTTGTTTGTCAAAGCTATCTGGGCAGTCAGTTGTAGCATAATGTCAGAGTGGTATTTGTTTTTCAACAGCCCAACTGTGGCATAATTTATTATTTTATTTTTGTAACATAGCAGGGTTATGCTATTTATGTTTTGTACATGTTTTATTTCTGGACTATCATACATCTTCCAATCTATAGTGGAACCTGCATAAATCTGTGTTACAGTCATGACACACACACTGCAGCTACACTATGGGGGGTGCTCAGGTGATTTGCATATTTGTGGCATTGCTTCAAAGTGTAAAATGATCTTGCCATGTAAAAACCAAGAGTTTCATCATAGAGATTTTTCCTATGATTATAAAAACAAAGCACAAACTTTTTATGAAGTATGGCAATAGTCACATCCATATTTGTGTGAAGTAGTTGAAAAATGCATGCAAAATTAATGTGCGTAGGCTGGACGGTGCCAGTGCTGCTGGGACCGAGTAAGAAGTTACAGGGCAGCAGCTCTCTACCCTGGGGTCTGTTACAGGGTGGCTGCTCTGTACACTGGGGTCTGTTACAGGGCAGCAGTTGCATGTGCTGGGCTCTGCACACCGGGCCTGTTACAGGACATGCAGATCTGTATGCCGGTATCTGTTACAAAGCAGTGGCTTTGTATGTTGGGTTCCATTACAGGACAGCAGATGGTGGCTCTGTGCACTGGTGTCTGTTGCAGGACAGCAAAGGCAGCTCTGTGCACCGTGCCCTGTTGCAGGACAGCAGCTCTGTATGCTGGGGTTTGTTCCAGGACAGCAGCTCTGTATGCGGGGATCTTTTCTAGGACAGCGGCTCTGTACACTGGGGTCTGTTCCAAGACAGCGGCTATGTACGCTGTGGTCTGTTACAGGACAGCGGCTCTGTATGCTGGGGTCTGTTCCAGGACAGCGGCTATGTACGCTGGGGTCTGTTCCAAGACAGCGGCTATGTACGCTGGGGTCTGTTACAGGACAGCGGCGCTGTATGCTGGGGTCTGTTCCGGGACAGCGGCTATGTACGCTGGGGTCTGTTCCAGGACAGCGGCTCTGTACGCTGGGGTCTGTTCCAGGACAGCGGCTATGTACGCCGGGGCTCGGGGCGAGACGAATCCGAACGTGTCGTGGCTGGGCAGCCGCGGCGTGTGGCTCAGCTACGTGGTTGGCGTGACGGCGCTGCACCTGGCGCTACTGGCCGTGCCCGTCATCAGCGTGGCCACCGCCTGGACGCTGACCAACATCATCCACAACACGGTCAGTCGGCAGCGGCATCAGCTACAGCATGGCCAGTCGTCAACACCATCCAAGGCGTTGTCATTTGATCACCGACCGATGCCACCTTCAACAGTCAGTTGTCCGTACAAACTATAGCACAGCCAGGTCGTTACCACTCAACATCCACACCACGGCCAGTTGCTCACCAACCAACATCTTCCCCACTGCGGTCAGTCACCAACTAGCACCATCTTCAGTATGGTCAGTAGGTCATTAACCATCATCACCGCCCGCAACACAGTCAGCTAGTTACGAACCAATATCCTCCGCAACATGACTGGCCAACGTCATCGAGAACGCAGTCAGGTGCTGACCAAACTGCAGCACTCCACAGCGCGCTCGGTCGGTTGGTCTACCACCACGCCAGCCCCGCGGCCTCAGGTCATCGCTGAGTGACTGCCGAAGACTGGCTGCTGCGCATTGCTGCCATTCTGAACTGGCTGGTATCCGCTGTCTCGTGCTATGCGCTGTTGGAGAGCAAATGACTGCCTCTGTCGCGGGTGTATGGTTAGTGTGGCCAATATAACGCTTAGGTTATTTATGGACGCCTCTAATAGACCTGAGTTGGAGAGCGTCGCCAGCCGCCGTGTCAGTGGGAGCCGGCGGAGGTCTGCCGGGAGTGGGCTGGATGGCGCGGTCCGGGCGCCCGCGCGGTGGGCTCTGGTGACCTGACGCCGTCGACCGGCCGCACCTCGTCGGTGACGTCACGGACCGGCTGCTGCAGCTCAACTTTGTGCTGATGCACGGCGTGAAGGGCGCGCCGTGGGAGGACGGCGACCAGGGCGGCTGTCACACGCTCTCGCAGTGGGAGCAGATCGACGGCGGACGCCAGAACACGCCCACCAAGACGTTCCTCACGGCCGTGCCGGTCACGCTGTGAGTCGCCGCTCGCCCGCCCCGCTCCCCCCCCCCCCCCCCTCCCCCTCCCGCCCCCGCCGCGGTCGCGCCCATGCATGCCATCAGCGGTGTGTGGAAACGTGTGGAGATTGTGGGTTCGGTGTTCAGTGACTGGGAAGCGGGTGGGGGTTATTGGCGGTTTCGCTGTTACCTGATGTAACCCGGCGGGCTGCTAGCCCGCTCAGTCCACTGGAAGCTGTAACTGTAGATGTGGTATGTACGTAGGAAGACAGTCGATTAGCAGCGGGTTTTTATTGTGAGCGGAAATACCGGCACCAAATGGTAAGAAAGTCGTTAAATGCCGCCACAAAAATAGTACAGGTTTCCTGTAGGCTACCTTGAAACGATAATAGTCAAAGCACATGAATGGAGCCTGTAAGAAGAACAGCAAAGCATTGCAAACCTTTTTTTTCGTTGATATGATGTGTTAAGACACGTTGTGACAGGGTCATTTACGCTTCAGGGTGAACGGGCCGAGGCGCAATCAAAGGTCACGAAGCTCCAGGCGGTCAAAGGACTTTCGTGATCGATTGCGGGAAAAACTGGCCATTTAATCCTCCTTTGACGTAAAGATGTACAATTTGAACTAACCACGTTGGCACACGTTTTATTCCAGCTGGTTTCGAAGTATTGTTTCGGTGTGACTGCTGACGGTAGCTCATTATGTCAATATGTTTCTTATCGCCGATCAGTATGTTCCTTGTCTCGTTGACTTGTCATGAAGTTGAAGACCTCGTGATGAAATATGGAACAGCATGTTCTAGGCTGAACTGGATTTAAAATGCGTTTAACATGCTAGAGCTTGGCCGTGTTCTGATACGCCAATACATGCCCAACGCCAAAATAATACAGCGACGCACCAGCGTTTGCAAAAAGGATGAACGGTGACTTTTCGAAGTTGAACTTGAAGTTTGCCGAAAGCGATGATCGAAAGACAATCAGAGCTACCAAATATGCGCCGTCAATCGAAGTATGGGAGCAGTTAGGATGTGGCCCTCATACACTTCCACATTTATGGTTACATATATCGCAGTGGCCAGGTTTCTCACGGTCTCGTACCGGCCGTTTCAGATTCATCCTAACCAGCTTCTACACGGCCTACGACACGTCTCACTTCGTGGTGAACTTCGTGAGCCTGCTGTTCGCGCTGGTGCCCAAGCTGCCGTTCGTTCACCAGCGGCGGCCGCCGAGCGCGGACGATGACTGAGCGGTGGCGGTTTGGCTAGACTGAGGTTCGGTCGCGGCCGGCTCCGTCCGCCGCCGGCGGCGCGTGTTGGCCGGGCCTGAGCCCGGGCCGCCCACGCCGACAGCCGGCCCGGCTGTAGGTGGTGTATGATTATCAGAGGCGTGGCTGTGTGTGTCGGGCGTGCGCTGTGAGCCGGCGGGCGGGCGTCAGAGGTGGCAGGTCGTCACAGGCCGGACCTGGCCGCGACCTGCGCGTGGGCCCGCTGGCAGTGGAGTCGTGCCGTGCCGTACCGCATTGAAGCAGGCTCCCGGCCCAGTCTGTCAGCCAGGTGGCGCCAATTAGAACTGACCTTTCAGTGACGAAGGTCAAAGTTGTGCGTGGGACAACTTCTGCTGGTCTGGTCGCGGGGAAGCTGAACAGAAGCGATCGCGAAACTTACCCTCACGTACTTGCAGTGTGCAGCATGCCGTCTCCTCTTCACTGTTTGGCCTTTCGGGGCGCAGGGGCGTTACGTATTGACAACTGCACTCGTGTCCGTGCCGCAAAGCTCGATGAGGTGCTGTGTACGTAGGCGGTGCGGGCCACGGGAAGACTGTGATATTGGGCGCTCGGCAGTCGGTCGGTCAGGCTGAGCTTGCGCGGAGAGAGGCGGCCCGCAGGAGCGGCGCCGGGCCGGCCGCCGCTGCCCACTCCCTGCCGTGTGGTGGGCGCACGAGGATGGGCGTGTCCCGTTTGTTCCGTATATCTGGCCTGGTCGCGCGAGACGTTTGTGAAGCCGCTCCTGTGGCTGGCGCTGGTGAGCACGCGCCATTTCCGGTCTTCTTTGTAGCAAGGATAGCTCTCGTCCGTCGCTGTAACGCCAGTGCAAAATGGTGCTACCCCCTCCTTTAGAGCTGCAGGAACGATGACGCCCAGCTCCCTGAGGTTGGAATCTTACAGTGGCGCCGTGGCGTGCCATGTGATCGCGTGCTTCTGGCCGGACACCAGGAACTGGCGTCTGGGACGCGGGCGCGGGGGTCGAGCTGGACTTTGTAGTCCGCCTCGGAGTCCAGAGCCTCTCGCTCGCCCGGATGTATATTACGGTACCTGTGTATGCGTGCTGTGTGCGTGTCTTTCGTGGGAGCAAGGTGCCGTCGTGGGAGGCCTGCGCGGCTCGTCGGATGACCTCGTCTCACCTGCACGGTGGCACGTCTGCAATGTAACCTGTATATATTCAGCCTGTTTCATCAAACCTCGGACAAAAACAAACACTGATATCCACTGGCTGTATTGGCGCCACCTGGTTTGAACGCAACGGGCTCCGGTAGAGGACGAGTAGGATGAAACGACGCTACTTTTCCGAGCGGGTCTCATGCGGAGTAGGTGGAGTGACCGGGGGGCAGGCGCGCTCTGCAAGGCGAGACATCTAGGTACCCTGCACTGCCCCTGACGCGCGACAAAATCTGGAACACCGTGCCCTCATGACACGTCCGTGGGAACGATAACAGCCATCGCACTACGGCGAAACGAATTGCCAGCGTTGAAAACGAACGGAAGGATTCTGCTCAGGCAGCGCCACCTATAACGTATGTACACGGGGTCTGATGTCGCCAGCGTCGGTGGTGGGCGGGCGGGGGGTCGGCCGCCGTTGAGCAGCAGCCCTGCAGAGCTGTGTCGTCATCGCCCTGCGGCACAGACGGCGCGCAGTTAGCCTGCAGCCCGGCGCTGCCGATCCGCCGGCCGGCGCGGAGCGCTAGCGGAGGGCTCGGCGAATCTGCGGCGTCCGTCTCACGCAAACACGGCAGGGGATTGCTTCCAGGACGTCCGTTTTGAGAGTGGTCGTGCCCTGGGAGCACCGCCGCAAACCTGGTGAGACGGTCAGCACTGTACGGCAGCATACCACAGACGTCCCACGCGGACAGGCGGGGCCGTCAGCACGCGTCCCACCCCAAGACCCCTAGCTCGGTCCGGGCCCGCGGCCGACGGCCCACTGACCGGTCTCATCGTCCGGCGTCGTTCATGATCTTGGGCAGGCCGAGTAGCGAGTTGATGAGCTCCGAGTTTCGCTTCTGCGTGCCGAGTGGGCTGGCGGGCCGGGCCAGACGCAGAATCCGGCCAGCCAGCTCCCCGATCACCTGCCGGCGCCAGAACAGCGACCCCCGTCACGGCAGGAACGAGCGGTGCTCTCCGCTTACGGTACGGGTGCGTCGGCTATAGTATGTACACAAGTCGAGGCCTCCTGCAAAGGTTCAATACGCCACTGGGGAGTGGAGGACACCAATATACGAAGTGAAACTTTGACGAGGGAGGGTGTCGACTCCTCCGGTATCTTATCACTTCCGACCACTGGGCATTTATACCGAACCTAATGCTGTCAAAACAGCTTGAGATTGATCCGCCACAGCAGCCGTGCTCAATGTAGCGTCGGCTCAATATACCTCAATCAACGACGCTGAACAGACAAGTCAGCTATCCCGTTGCAAAACAGATGTCGCAAGTAAATGTACCCAGGACTTGCAATGGGTGGTGAACTCTCAGCTCAGCTCGACTATACAGCCGCAGGGAGGTCGTGAGTCGCGAGGTCCCCACTCGGCCACACCATTCATTACCAACTTCTCCAGCCCGGGGAAGGGGCGTCAGCACGCGGCAGAGTGTTGTGCTGTGCCGTGCTCGTGCTAGCATCGCTGCTCTTCAGGCTCGGAATACTCAGGGTTAATAGATGCATAGCGGTGCCCAAACGTCTTGCTCGGGCGGGACGTAGTGAGCGTATTTTCATGTGTGTGATCCTAAATCATGCTTCGGTGTTCCTTGTAACTCTGCGTGGCGCTGAAATGTGAACGCCAGGGCCAAACGCCTACGAATTGCCTACGATAAACAAGCTATCGCTTTGGAGATAGTCATTTATCCCTGCGCAACACTATGATAGGCGTGTTTCAGAGCGCAGTGTACCGAAACAGGCCATCGGACAAACTGAAAGCATGCTCGTCAAACATCTTATCATTTGCCAAATGCATTATCAAGTGCAAATGACTACCGTAGACAACAAGATTTCACTACTTAGTAAACATACCCCTCAATACGTCACCGGTTAATTACGTCGCGCACCATTTTTATGACATCAAAAGTCGCTGCCCGCTTGGCCGTGTCAGCATTGCCATTAGCGCTCGGGGTGACTGACTTGTGGCACCTCTACGCGTCGTGAGGTGGCTTTGGTGGCCTCTGCGTGTAAATCTATGTTTCGGGCGTTGCAAAAGTTTGACCCTTCTCGTGGTGCTCTTGCATATGTGTCCGTGATCTTAGGGGTTTCTTGCAGTTGCGTTCTTGAGCACGGCGCTATATTTGAGTTATTCGATTCCCAGCCTGGTGTCCGTCATAACTAGCAGGACTGCCCAAATTCCATTATCGTGTATCACAAAACGCGCCTCATGATCAAGGGTTGCATTTAACGCGTTCAGCTGGTTGGAGACCAGTGGCTGCCCGTTGATGCGGTGATTCGTGCTGGCGTTCCCTAGACTCAAATAATTTCATGGTCATGTTGTTATTGACCTTGAGTATGGTCATTGAGGAGACAGAATTCGTGCACATTTGTGACATTTCTGTGACGCCACACATCTCTGGGCACCTTCAAAATGGGCGGCGTGAAATAGTCTGCGCAATTTCCAAAGCGCCTGGCTCAGTAATGAGAGGATATGAAGCCTTAAAAAGGCCGTCGCTGTGAACAGAAGAAAATAATGATTTTGAAAATGTATACCTCGGTCCCAAATTCCATACAAATATGGATCAGTCCCTTCAAAAATGTTGACGCGCTTCATGGTGTGATGACACTTTCAGACCAATTGTTATGTGACCCAATGATTTAGCCTCGCGGTCCAAACCGAAAGTGTCCCATTTGAGGGCAGTATCGGCGCCCTGCGCCCCCCCCCCCCCCCCCCACCCCGGTTATGCGTACGTTATCTTTTAATTGCCCTTTAGCTAGCAATTTGGGCCGAGTGTCGGTTCAAAATCGGTGCAAAACGTACTCGGTTCACCAGGCTCCCCGTGGCTCACTGCGAGGCACACGTGGCACACTCACTAGGCTTCCCGTGCAAGCCTAGCGCGCGGTTGGCTGCCACAGAGTGGCGCGATATTCGGCGGGTTCGCCTGAATGGAATCGTTTTGCATACGGCAGCGTGTCCCGTGGACTCCCTTGTGAAAATGACATACCCACACGGCTGGGGCACTAACCACGCCACCATAGCCTGCCAGGTCCGTGGTCGCGTAAGACTTGCGGAAGTGGCCACGGCCGGAGTCTGCCCCTACCGAGAGCCGGTCAGCCGGGGGCCGAGGTCGGCGCGTCGGTGACCGGCGGCGGCGGTCGGCCGGCCGGACCGACCGGTCGGCCCGACCGCCCATGTCACGCCTGAATAGCGGGCGCGGCGCGAGCGCCGCCGCGCGCCGCGCGTCGCGTCCGCCGCTTTTTATCGGAGCGCGCGACCGCGGATGTGGCCGAGTTCAACGACACGCCACCGTCGATCAGCTGACGGACAGCGGCGACGCGCACATTCCGGAAAGCCGCCTGGTGCGGTTGAGCCGGGAGCCGCTCGAGCGGCCTCGGCCCGCGGCCCAGCGACTCCCGTTTCGAGGGCGGGGGTCAGCCGGACCCGCGGCCGCGCGGCTGGCTTGCTTTTCAGACCGGGCCAACCCAGCCTGATACGCCCGGTCCCGTCCGATTTAGCAGGGCGGCGACGGCGTTGGGTCCCCGGTGACCCGGCCGGGACGGGCCAACGGTGGCGGAGTCGTCGCCGTTTTACATCGTTCAGCTACCCACTGCGATCAGAGTTGCTAGTCGGACAGTAAAATCCAATTTGGGTTCGCCATGGCGTGCCAGTTCCGGCCAGGTATTTGATCCCATTGTGAATGTGCGGCTGGTTTGAAAATTTCGCTTGGAAATTGCAGAGGAAAGTTAAATGGGCTAGAGAATCGCGCGGAAGCCCACCCTGTCTGGACTTCATTTAAGAATTCTAACTTGCCACGTGTATCATGGGGCTTCGTATCCGCGTTTTGGTATGGTATTCATCCCCGCCCATGCCATACAGCAGTCGGCCCAGTTTTGGGACATATGAAATCACTGTCTGCCATGCATTGCTTCTAAACAATGCTAGGAAAGTACTAAGCATTCCACATGTACAAAATCCGCCACGCAGAAATATGGCACCAATGTACAGGGTTCGAGGCAAAACAACTTCATGTGTGAAAAAGTGTTCCAACACCAAAAGCAACGAGCATGACTTGCGATCAGCACCTCGGCGACCTTTTTGTTAGTGACGCACTCCTAAGCAATGCGCCGTTTTCAGACATTTAGCCCGCTATAACGCGTTTTACGAATGCTAGAGCGACCAACTGCATACATTCAAGGTCGCATTTACGCTGCACACGAACTGTATGACTAGTGCCTTTGGGAAAGCTTCCTATCTAGACTCCCTGTAACTGAAAGAACCACGGCTCTTGGTGAACCAAACCGGTGGTACCGGAACCCGGAGTAGGCACTGCCGTTGAGTCAGCGTGAAAAGGTCGGCCGTTCAGATTTTTTCATAAGTGGAGTCAGGGGTTAGTCAGTCGAGTCGTCGGTGAGTCACTTCGAATGCAAATGTGAACAGCAAGAAATATCGATAGTCTGATGACCCGTATATGCATGCTCAGTCTTAGAGGTACATGTGTACAATTGCTCTACCGTCCAAGTGGTTGTGCTACTTAAGCGTTTGTGAAGCCCATAGACAGGGGCATACGCCACATTCTTGTCAATGAAATGGACTCGTTGGGATCGATTCTTATCTTGACTATTTCTCCAAGAATTTCATTGACGCGGCAACATGAGGAACGACATAACGAGCAACAAACGCCGAATGAGGAGCGACAGAAACTCTCAGGTCTTGGAGACATGGGACGCGTAAGGCTGGTGTTAAAACACCAGCGATGTTGCGCTGCGCGCGTGTAGACTGCAACATCAAACTGCCGTCACCTCTTGCAGGCATTGAAAAAGGAGCATGGCCAACATTTATCTGAGTGGTCTGAAATTTGCTGTGGGGCTCTTTCAAAGTTTCTTGGAGATTTCTGGATACTGTTCTCAGTATTAATGATGGAAGTCAAATACACATGAAAACCATACCTGGTATTGCACACTGCCCGGGAAACGAAATAGAAAGGCGCACAGTTACACGACATGATCGTCTGCTAAGGTAAAACCTCGTTACTCACAGAAACCGAAGGTAAAACATGAACGATTTGCAGCCTTTGAAGCCTTGCCGGTGTTGCCACTGGTGGAGTCCGGTGGCACCGTGCAGTAACCGTGGAGACTGTAAAGCTAGAAACGGCTTTCATATTTTTCTTGGTTGGAAAAGTTCATCCTGATATAACCGTCGGAAGGACTTGGAGCTTGACAAACGTTTACTTGAATGTTCGTGTGAAGGCCACAATAATGGCCCAGGCTGGTGCCAGCCTAGGGGATATCGTCAAGGCACTGAGGCTGTCACCTCAGATAGTGAACATATGGTGACGATTTTCACATGAGAATCCCTCCATGACCAGAAGCGTTCGGGTCGACTATTGCGGGTTAGCCGGGCAGTCCAAACTTTCTGCCAAATCCTCGCCAAAGAAAGACTAAAGATTGCGGAAATCATCGGTCAAATTGCCACGCAAGGGTTGTGAGGCGCTCAGAAGGACTGTTTACCGTTATATGAAATACTCATGAGGTCCCATGGCGCGCAAACAGACCAAACGGACACAATTTAGCGCCAAAAGCGAAAGGAAAGGTGAGCTATGCAAACGACCCGGAGAACTAGAGCAAGAACGTCTTCAGGAGAATCCTTGGCAACGGCGAGTCTGTTTTCGAACTTACGAAGCTCTAAAAACGTCAAAACGACCGTGTGCGGACGACGAAGATAGTGGAAGTACCATCTTCCCGCCTTGAGAACTGGGGATCTTAGGATGTGATTGTGTGGGAGGAATGAGTGATCTACGACTCACAGCACCGCGCATGAAGTTACAGAAACAGCGTTAACACAGACTGCTATGTCAACGAGATTTGAGAAAAATCTCGCCCTGAGGCCAATGACACGAATGTTGAGCACGGGCCCTGCAAATTACAGGACCATAGTGGCCGAGCCGGTGGCCGTCTTCATGGGAGACAAGGCCGCTGAAATTAATCGAAAATATGTGGGGTATCTTGAAGGCGGCCTCAGCGAGATGAATCCTTGCAAGAGCATTGCGTAGCTCAAGACAGTGCTTCGGAGGGGAAGGGCAGGTCTCTCGCATTCATGTTCTGTGAGTTAGAGCATGGCATGCCGAATAAGACTGCCGAGTGTCTTGTATTGGAGGCGGAATACGTTGGTACGCGGATGTTAATTTTCACATAAACGTAGTGAGTTCTACAGGTGGTGGAAAGACAAGAGATGTATCATGAAACTTCCTGCGCGTTATCCTGAGTCACTGCGTGCGGACGACGACATTTACCACACCGACCATGCACCTAGACATGATTCTGCTGGTGCCATCCATACTTAAAACTGAAACCTTGCAAAAGTGAAACAATTTGCAACCTTGCAAAAGTGAATCCAAGTAGCATGCACCACATCGCACCATCAACGGAAGGGACGATACTATCCCATGGTCTAATACGACCTTATATAAGCTGAAGCGACTAAGATCTAGAGTTAACAGCTTGGCAACAGTGCATGTTTGTGCTCGAGTGCGCTACGTTTCCCAAATCTATGGTACAAGCTCATCGTACTGGAGCCAGTGGCCATTATTCCTAGAGCTGATCTGTGACGTCATAGGTGCCCTGAGCCAACCAATGAGGTTCCACGACTAGCGATGCTAATGCTGACGTCCGTGAGTGATCGGTCACCATCACACGTTTGTTTGTGACCATGTCCATTTAAACAGCGCAATACGTGGATTGGTTACACAGAAGGCGAGAGGGGGGGGGGGGGGGAGAACGTCCCTCCTCATCGAGTCGTGTGTGGGCAAGTGGCCTCATGACCTGCCGGGTTCAGAGTTAAGCGGATGGTTGCCTGCCATATGCCTCACCACGAACAGAGACATTTACAGCTATTCCCAAGCGTCGTCTGTATTCGTGACATTTATATGCCGGTTGGAGCTGAATTTCGAAGCAAATGGAGCCAGGCAAACATTCGGAGCAACTTTGCATGCATTCAGACCTGAGAACGTCCTGCCTAAGCTGATGGCTCCTCAGAATCCAGGACCGGCTGCTGCTAGCGTGTCTCGATAAGCTCTCAACGGAAGGATTACGCAGTGAGTGGACGCGGACGTTTGATACCATGCTTAATTATGCGATAATTTTGCAATGGTAATGAGCAGGGATTGTATGAACAGCCCAAATACTGTTCCATCTACGCAGGCGAACATTTGCTATCCTGTTAAGGCCTAGAATTGCTTGATTTTGTTATGCTGGTGCCGAAAATGGACGCGCCACTTTGCTGATCATGTGAATGATGCGTGTTTATTCGTATTCCTTGCTGTTCGTAGTTTGTACGTGTTAAAAGTGCATCATTCCAGTAGTTCGTAGCATGGTATGAGCGACACTACCCTCAACATCATTTTTGGGGCTTGAAGTACATTGAGGTTTGAATTTGAATTGAAGTTTGAAGTCTGTAAGCAGCATTAACCAAATCTAGCTTCGGTGGTTTCTCCACCTTCGCTGGCATAGAGGGGAGAGCTGTGGGCCTAGTCCTCTCTTGGAGACCCCGCCAGCCGCATCTCGTCTCGGTGTCAGCTGCGCCTTCTTCCCCCCCCCCCCCCGCGGATCCCGGTCAGCGGTGGGCCGGCGGGCGGCGTCCTCCCGCGGGATCCCCGCCAGCAGCGAGCCGGCGGCCGCGTGCGCCCGGCGGGCGGCGTCCTCACCTGCCGCGTGCCCAGGTCGAGCTCGTCGCTGGAGTATCGGTCGGGCGCGGCCAGGGCCGCGGCCACCACCACACTCAGCAGGAGGCAGACCAGTCCGGTCCTCATGATGCAACTGCAGCCCACGAACGCCAGGTCAGCGGCGGCGCAAGGTCAACCAGACGTAGCACGCTCGCCCCGGCGACGCTCAGCTCCCCGGTCTGCGGGAGGAAGCTGTCTGGGGAAGACTCGGCTCTAGCGTTTGGCAGGAAGATGGCTGGGAGGTGCTCGCGCTGGTGTCTGATTGGGAGGTGTCTGGGATGCACTCAGCATTCAGAGTTTCCAGAGTTTTGTAGGAGTTTCCTCGGACGGTCTTGAACTCTTGGCCGATTTTAAATGGATGCAAAGTTCGTGAAAGCGAGCGTGTCCTTTTTGGTTTTAAGTGCCTTATGTACCCTGTGCGTATGTGCATGCTTCTAGAGTGCGCCACTGACGCTGCATCACGCATCGTCGCTCCGCCTTATCGCGTTGGATAGGCTCCATGCCGCATATGTTCACATTTCAACGATAGGAAGCAACATAAGTGCTAAAGCTGAAGTGAAACATGCTACTCCACCCGTGAAACATGTTCTTAAAGATAAAGGGTGACTGAAGCTCGTGACTAAAAAAAGCTCGTTCAAAATGGTCTGATTATTGGGGCGGCGGGAGAGGCCTCAGTTCAATAAACAAGGGCGACACAGAACAAGGCCATGACACGTTTGATCGGGCGGCTGTTAGATCGGTCCGTGCCGCAGGTTCTCTGCCCTCAGTCGGTGTGGTACATTTTAGTTGTGATGTGACAAATTATGACGATAGGAAGGAGGTTCGTTACACAATTAAGAGAGCGTGTTCAGTATTTCTGAAGAGACAGTCAATGGTCAGTTATAGAATAGCCCTTGCGTATATGTACATATGCATGCAAATAGCAACACAATGCATGGAAAACTGGCGCAAAGTCTCGGAGGAAGTAATGAGCTTAGTCTTTTGCATTTTTCACTTGAACTACGCAAATGATCTTTCGCGGCGGTCTATGTAACTGTGTATGCAGAAATGCACGCGTTCATCACACTTCAGCGAAAAATATTCCTAGCGATTAGAACTTGCATAAGCTCCCACAGTGCAGCTCAGAGAACAGAACAGAATATGAAAAGACTTATAAAAAAGGAAGGCAGAGACCCACCGTAAGCCTAGCCTACACCACGCCGTTCTTGCAAGAGCCGGGAGACACGTCGCAGCCCTGCATCCGCTAGCAAACGCTTATGAGTGGCCGTGTGACAGTAAACGGGGGCAAATCGGAGCCGTGTAGAAAGTAATGCAGTATACCGAAAAATAGGCAGGCTAGCCGGCGCATCAGGTGATGAAACAGGTAAATAATAGCCAGAAAATCCCCCGCACATGAAGTGCTTGGGACGCAAGAAATCGTTGAGGTATGTGCAAGTGAAATGTTTTACAATGCTCTGTAGCCGTGTATAACTCTCGTGGCAGCATGTACAGCTTATGGAATTGAACATTGATGTCTAGGGGAAAATGGACCTATAGTCTGGGGAAAAGATACTCAATACGTGTTTCGGCGGCAGGGAGTGCAAGTCCCAAAGCGTGCGTATTGTTTAGTCAGGGCGTAATGGATAGGTCAGCTGGCAGCAGCTGGCCAGCAAGGGTCAACACGGACCCGAGGGTGCCGTGGCCACGACAGACGTGTATTGCTTAAGCCGTCTGCAGGCCCATGGGAATCCTAGAGTCGTTTGGGGTACGTCGCGCACAGCGTCGTAGTTAGATTTTCTGGCTATTGCACTGCAAAAGCTAGAAATGTTTATAACTAGTACGCTTTGTGCGACGTACCCCAGACGTTTTTAGGATTCCCATGGCCACAAACGTTGAGGGGAAAGTTAGGCATCCGCGTCTTCCGCTAGGCGGTCCTTGTGGTCGGGAGTCTGCCCCTTGTCCCGTTCGCGAGGCAAGCTGCCCTCGCCTGTCTGGGCGCTAGAGCAGCGGCGGCGCGGCGCGGTACGCCACCCCGGACCGTGATCAGCTCACCTCAGCTGGTCGGTGTAGGGACGGCGGCGGGCGTCGGCTGCTCTGCCGGTCCGTCGGCTCCGACGCCGCTTTTATAGCGAGCCGTCGCAGTCGACGCGGGCCGGAGCGCTGCCGATGAATGGAGGCGGCTGCTGGGCCTGACAGCGGCGCACGTGATGACGGGATGAGCGGGCCGGGGTGCCGGCCACCGACCTCGCTCCGCGCTCATCACCAGTGTCCCCCGCTCCAGCCTGTCGGCCACACACGCACAAGCTACATGGAGACGCCGTCGGCGACGCGCACATGGCATCCACCGGCGCCGGGTGCTACTGAGACATGGCACCCACCGGCGCCGGGTGCTGCTGAGACATGCATCCACCGGCACCGGGTGTCACTAAGACATGGATTCCACCGGCGCCGGGTGCTACTGAGACATGATATCCACCGGCGCCGGGTGTCACTAAGGCATGGATTCCACCGACGCCGGGTGCTACTGAGGCATGGCACACACCGGCGCCGGGTGTCACTGAGACTCAACATTGAAATTCCAGACATTGGGAAGCACAAGCATTGTGCGTCAAAGCAGGCTCAAGGGGACCTTTGTGTGCAAAACTCAGGCAATTTGCATCCGCATTTGAGATTTTTCAGCCAACAGTGGAGCTCATTCGGAAATGCTGAGGGTGTGGTTCGGGACAGACTTTAAACATGAACATGGTACCTATGGTGTAAAACAAACATTTTCAACGCCTGGTCTGAGGAAGACCTACAGTCCTGGTCATCATGAACTGCGCTGACAGGAGAAAGACCTCGACGTAAGTTTTTTTTAGGGTTGAATTGAATACAAAAGCCACAAAATGCGAGCCGAAAAACAACAGTTTTAGATTAGTTGCAGCCTGACACTTGTGTTATACTCAGAGTGTGTGCGGTACAACAGCGCACAACTTTGCCCCGATATCAAGTGCTCTTGGCCTCGATCACTCCTCTTTAAGCTAACAATTACATATGGCGCGACTCAAAACATTGCTGTGATAGCATTACCAAACTTAGCAGGATTCAGAACATTGCCGTGATGGTTTTACTAAACTTGCAAAAAAAAAGAAGAATGAATGTGACACTAAGTGGCAAAGTGTGACGCGATGAGCTAGGTCACTCAGTTGCTTTCTGAGTAAACGTGATTGGTGTCTGATGAACAACGGGTGTCTGATGTTCGATGTATTGATGTCTGATGTCAGATAAACTCAATGAATCAGTGCTGATTGAGAAGCAGTGATACAATGTAGAATGATTCAGCTACAGCTTCAGTCAGCCATTCGTACCAGAGCGAATAAGTCATCAAGTGGGTAAGTAGGTCTTCATATGCTTCACATCAAACAAGGCTGGCCACAAGCTTTTCTCGACACCTAAGCAAGAATTCATCTTTTTCAGCTACGAAGGCATGCCCATAAGCACGGATGAAAAGTGTCTTATGTCACAGACGAAATTTTTAATAGCCTAAGTTGCCACCAGGAGCAACACTTATCAGAAACCGTTGAACCGAACTATAATAGCAGCAAACGGCACAAAACAAAGGTAACTGAAATCCAATGTGTCATAAACATCATACTTTTTCGCTTCGCAAACGTCACTTGCACTAAAACATCATTCGCTGGAAATGCCAAACATCCCCTTGGTTAGGGCGTAAGTCCTCGTGCATGAGTAGCCAGCGCAGCGGGCTGAAGGCCGGTGAGCACGTTGGGTTGCTTCAAACCTGAGACGTCGCATGTCCGGAGAAAGACGAGAACATGTTTGGTCAGCGGCCGTATCACCACCAGAAATGGTATGCAACAAACCCCATGCGCTATCTCACGACGCACGGGACCGTATCAGTGTTTAACCCATACAAATCCACTGTATTCATATCAGTTTTACACTGTTTTGCAAACTGTTAACTTAGGCAGATAATTTTTATGTTGTTTTCATATCACGGCTGTGGCCTATGTATTCGAGTGCGTTGTCTGAATTTCCATAGTGTCCAAAACCAAGACTTCTAGCGGTCACGTTCCGCGTAACGGTCTGCGAAATGTTTACAGCCCAAACAAAAAGTAACAACCAGAAATCCAGCAATGGATAATCTACTTCATGGCCTGGAGTATATGGATGGCGGGCCAGCGTCCGCGTAACTAACCGTGCTTGGCGAGATTGGCTGATTATTTCGGATTTCGGCCGCTGCGACTATCTCATTGTGTGACAACCTTGCTTAGTGATTATTAAAAATTGCTAGTTGAGCGCCGCTCATGAACCCAAATCGTGACTTTTAAAGAAGCATTTGGGAAGGGTGCCGCCCATGAGATTTGCCCACAAATCTGTTATGGGTGCATCCCAGTACAGCATTTCATATGTTCCAGCTATGGACCTTGGACCTAATGACCACATGTCACAAATTTATAACAAATATAGCAATGCGTGAAATACTCTTTGCATAATGTCCTGCATCTTAACAGAGCGTTTGGCGCCAGTACCTCATTGCGGCTGTCGCAGGTGAGCCGATCGCTAGAGCGTCGCTGTTTCGATCAATGGGACTGTCAGATGTCCGATACAGGAGCGGCCGCATGTCCGGTACGGCAGCAGCCGTCGTGCAATAGGGCGGCCGCGTGTCCGACACAGGAGAGGCCGCGTGTCCCGCACGGGGAAACCGCACGTCCGAAGGAGGGCTGGGAAGCCCTGGCGCCAGGCTGCGGAGCGCTTAACTTTCGTCCTGATTCACCGTTTTTCGTAACGCGAACTGATGTAGGTTGGGTGGTTGATGTCTTTTGAAACTAAGAAGGATAGTGCCTCGCGGAAAAAAAAACAGTGGATGAGCATGACAAAACCCGCGATCAGAAATAAGCTGCGTGTTACTAGGTCAGTAACTGACCTTATTAAACCACGCCCAAGGTAATTTGTTCCGAAAACTTTCTTATAAATTTCCACACCCACACACCCACACACACACACACACACACACACACACACACACACACACACACACATATATATATATATATATATATATATATATATATATATATATATATATATATATGATATAGGGATTCGTTCACGCACCGGTGTTAGCACGACGCGCACCGTCCGCGGAATCGTCGGCTGTCGCTCGTGGCCCGCACCAGCCGTGGACCGCCGTGTAGTGTTCCTTAAAGGGAGTGTTCCACATTTGTATGCGGTTTTGAGCTGAAATGGCCATGTTAAAAATCATTCGGTGCAGTTCACAGACATGCCCTTCTTAAGACCTAAACCTTTCTAACTTCTGAGCTTCACACCAGCGAAGATGTACAGACTATTTCGGGCAGACTATTTCAAGGTCACCTAGGCATCTATGGCGTCACAATTACGCCATTCAAATCTTACCATTTTATTGGCCATGCAGCGAACAAGACCAAGAAAAACATAATTGTTGGGTCGGTCATATCTGGCGTGTTTGAACACGATTTCCAGATATAACGGCTGTCAATTAACTCTGAATCAATGTTGTGCAAGTTACCATGGCGTCATCAGACAATGGCGTATTGTGAAGCGTATTTGCTAAACAGAGAAACTGTGTTGTCTCCAACAGCCTGTTCCACTCAAAAGTCTACCGATAGTTATAAGTAAGCTTGTTTCATCACACGTGATGCTTGCTTCCTTACTTTGCTTCTGAAGTTTGCATCTTCTAACGTGGAACATTCCCTTGAAAGGCGGTGGCTTCTCAGAAACCAGAACTGCCAGAGGTGCGCCTTTTATGGCAGGACAAGTCCCATAGATGCCCCAGAGGATCCCAAAAGTTTGGACGCGATTGCACGCCGTGCGTGACGGTCCGCTGCCAGGCGTCAGCTGATATTCCCTGCTACGGTCTCTGTGTACTGTAATCCTCCCACTTGTCATCCTGAACTGGCCTCTGAACAGCCGAGCTTCTTCAGAGCGAGGATTAAGAGACAGGCAACCTGATACAACGCGCAGCAGTGGCCGAAAGCTATTTCCTCCATGGACAGATCATATGGTGGAAGGCTGACCGAAACAAACCACTTTACTCTTCTTTACTCCTTTTATCCTCTCAGGCTGCCTGTGGCCGCTTCCCACGCAGGGCAAAGGCAAAACAATAGCATTCATCTCCTTAAACTGCAGTTTCTTGTAACTTTTACAAGTAACTACAGTTTAACCAGTAAGGGTTCAGTCTAGACGATAAGATCGAGCCGATAAAAGAACCGGACATATGTAGCTGGTTGACCTTGTACCTTTCTGTATGAGGCCCAATATGTCTTTTACGAACAGTGATTTAATGCATTCCATTATACCATTTACGGCCGCCATAATAGCCATCGATACTACCGAACATATTGCCTCAAACTTACTTGCGCACCACTTAAGCGGGATTCTGGCAACCCATATTCACTATAAGCCCTCCGCGCGGGGCTATCACTTATTGCCAGTTTTCTCAGGAGAGCGTAGAAGCTAATTTTAGCTGGCCCTTTCCTCCATAAATCGGACTATACGAGCTGAGATTAAAGGCCAGAAACAGATGATTTGAAGAGGGGTTAGGGGGCAACAGGAAGAAAACCAGAGCTTCCTGAAGTGCATTTAATTAATCATCGCTGCAGTATGTGTGCCCCGATTTTCACGTAATTGAAGTAGCGTTGTCGGCACTGTACGCCTGCGGTACAAGTTTAGATATGTTTAAAACCTGAAAATCATAGATTCATAGGCAGAGCAATTAGACGTGATTTTCTAAGAAAGAGAAGGCGAGGTTCTAGCCGATTTTTGTGATATGATGACGTAAGCACAGCATTGGCATCCATTAACCACAAATCAATGCCTCTATTCGCAAAGCTTTCCTCGAACGGAACTTCGTGGCTGAAAAAGGGCGGGTAAATGGGAATGACGGATTTTGATGGAGTGCAGCATGGCGCCATTTTTGCCTACCGAACACTGATTGGTGACCCCCATACCTTGTATTACCATGTTATGGTATGTATTAATCGAATGCAGATGGTCGTGGGCGGATCCAGGATGCATTTTGGATCGCAATAATCACAGAACAAAAATTGCACATACCTGAGGGAGGAAGATACGTATTCAGGGGGGAAGATACGTACTCAGAATGTTGAGAAGGATTGCGGTTACCGCAAGCCACTAAAATATTGCAGAAAATTTCGGCAGTTCCCTCCCTTTATTTACTACCCTCCGAACGACTCTACACAACGATTTCAAATGCTGTGCCCTTCATACACATGACTG